GGTTAAAAAAGAAAAAAAAAAAGATAAAAATTACTATAGGAAATAGTGAAAATACATAAATATATAAGAAGAAAACCAAATTCTAATAAACAAGTTTCTTATCCTTTATAAAATAACTAAGATTGCATCTGTTACTACTCTTACTGTTTATATTGCTATTAATATGCTTTTCTTCTTGTTTTACTTTCTGCTTCTTATTATCATTAGATTACTATTTATTGAATATCTTTCTGCAATCCTATTTGCCACAATAAACAACAATACTGTTTCTACTCGTTTCTACTTAAAAAATTATAATATAAAAAACATTCATACAGTATACATTTGTACATTCATAAACTAACATCAGAAGGGGCTCAGATACCCAAATTGTTCATATTAGTGAAAGTATCATTATATAAACTTATACACTGGTAAGAAATGAGTTTTATAAGAATGAACACAAACTCTTTTTTTTCTTACTTTCTATAGCAATTTTTTTTTATTTTTATTCGGAAATAATTTTTTTAGACTTTAAGTTTTGACAAATCGGTCAGAACTTCATTTCCAAGTAGGAAAATTCTTAATAAAGATCTTAAATCTTACAAGTTACTTTAATTCAAGCTCATTTGTACAACATATACAGCCATTAATAGAATTTTATGTCAAAATATGGGTTATGTAAATTTTGTGTTTATATAAGTCAACTTAAACTTATAGTTATAACCTTCTTAACGATTGTCATAAATATTAATTCTTATTAGTGCGAGTCCACTGTATTTACTCATGTAGACATCTATAAAAAAGAAATATTTTAGTATTCGAATTCTTTCTACAATGTTTATATATAAAAACTTTACAAAAACGAAAAATAAATAATAGAAATGAAAAATTCTACCCATGTATTTTCTTCATTTACTTATTTAGCAATTTTTCATCTTTCCTTTTCAATTTTATAAAGAACTTTTCCGTATCCGGTTTTAATTTTCTTTTTAGCACTTTTCCAAAAATTTTTTGAAAAAAAGTGCTTATTAGTTTCACTCTGTCCGTCCGTCCGTCCGTCCGTCCGTCCGTCCGTCCGTCCGTCCGTCCGTCCGTCCGTCCGTCCGTCCGTCCGTCCGTGTGTCTGTTTACAAAACTTCTACATTCTTAAAGATAGAAAGCTGAAATTTAATACGTACATAGGTCTTTACTAGAAACTTATTTTCGTAGAACAAAATTTTTACCTATCTCCCCCCCTCTAGAAGTTATACCCCCCAAAGCACTAAAAATGGCCTATTTTAACTATTTGTTGCAATGAAACCATAAGCATTTTTGAAATTTTGCAAACGCAGAAAGGCAGTGGGTTGCTTCCCCTACCGCGGTATACTATAGTTAAACTTTAGAAAAACAAAATGGCCGTTCAAATTTACCGTTATCTAAAGTCCTTTTTTTCCAAATTTTTGATGTCGTTTTTCTTCTAGACCCCAGCCTGTAGAAGCTTGAAATTTTAGGGGCTTTTAGATATTAATAAGTAGTTCATTTCGTTAGAAGAAAATTTTTTTCCATCTCCACCCCCTCTCAAGTTATGACCTCTTGAAATTTGTAAAATTTGCATTTTTGACACCTTATATTTATGAAACCGCAAGTTTTTTCAAATTTCTATAAACACAAAAAGTTAACGGTAAATTCCATGACATTAAAAAATATAATTATTTTTCTTAACTCACACAATTAACCCTTAAAATCGAGCATTATGTTAACCCCTTTTTATATTAAATTTTGCTTTATTTCAAAGACTGCATAAATGGTTCATCCTGAACATATGCAATCCTACGTAGAACGAGTTTCGTATATGAATGAAAATAAATTTAATAGTGTGGTGGATATACATAGACTGTTTTTAAAAGCAGTATTTTCACTTGTTGAAGGGAAAAGTGCTACAATACAAACCATTGGTTTGACCCAACTTTATTATACATATTATGAATTTCTTTTTTTATCCTTTTTCTTTTATTTTTGATCACTTGTTTTTAACTCTTAATTTTTTAACTATTTTTAACTATATCAAAGAATGATAATCCTAACTTTAAAGGTTTCCTGATTGTTAAAATATAGTTAAATCAATTTTAAAGAACAAATAAGATAAAAAGAAACATAATCAAAATTATTAAATTTCTATTATGTCTTGTATAATGCAGAACGCGTATTTTCAGTAGGTAATATTTTTAACTCTTTCCTTTTTATGAAAAATGTACATGTGGAAATTTTTGAATTTCTTCAACTAAATTTCCAATTATATATAAGAAATGTGAGGCAATTAAACAACAAGATATATAGTACATCAAACGTTATTTGTTTAATGGCTACCCTGCAATCTTGCTATGCAAAATGAGTATTCAATACCAAATTTTAGAATTTTATTTAAAGGTCGTTTTCAAATCTTTCGCATTAGCTTTGATTTTAGAAAAATATAGGATTAATAGTAGTTTACATTTCTGTGACAGTGAAAGTCGTTTTTAAATTAAGTACAATAAGCAAGTAATAATAAACAGTAACAGTAAATTAAATTTAAATGTTGTTATTATTAAAACTTTAATTGAATTTAATTTTAGTTCAATTTGCTTTTTGCACCCTACATAATTTTTGTAATGTTTTGTAATGTAATTATTATTTCAAAATTTCTTTTAATATTTAAACAATATTTGTTGTCCAATTGTACTAGTTTGTTACAGTGATAAATTTTCAGCTTTCCGAAACTGTTTCGACAGTTGGTGCTTTATGCTTAATTATTTATTGTGTGAATTATTATATGTGAAATTCTTGTTTGTTGATTTCAATCCAAATATTTTACAGTGAATGACAGATACTTTTTAACTACCTAAACATGTTCTTATTCATCACCTTGTTTTGAATTTTTTTTTTGACAAAGTACAAAATTATGTAAAACAATCAAATATTTTTTTTTCAAATTTTAGGCAAAAAATAAGCTGTAATTATATTTAAAAAATAAGAAAATAAATTCTTATATAGGACATTTCAATAGATTGAAAGGACTGAGTTATTTTAGTACACTTTCTTATGAAATTTTTAATTGGAATGTATTTTCAATACTACCATCATATTATATTTACACTGTAAACATTATCAATCACAATGTTTGTTGACATTTTATTAAAACAATTTAATTATATATGTACATAATTTAATTTGGTAATAATTATTTAGTCTTTTTTTTTCAAATCCAAAGCAACCTCAGCTAACTGTGCAAAATCTGAATTTTCTCATCTTGTACATAATTGATTATGATAACACTTCGTAATTCCAATACAATGCGGTGCTACTTTTTTCTAAATTCAAAATGACCCTAATCACACACTACTAAACGAAGCCTAAAAATAGAAAAATATGTTAATTAGTTTTAATTTTTCAATGTTTGAATATATATATGTACACAGTAGCAATAACGTTTTTGTAACAAAAAATTATAGCACGCATGTACATGGGGAGTATTACTAAAAGCGTTGATTAAAAATGTTGATCTTTTTTTGTTGAAATATAACTGATGTTCGGGTATGATGAATAAGGTAAAAATTTTTAAAAGTAAAACCTTACACCTATTTCAATTCGATTCTTATCTTGGATTCGGTCATCCAATTAGATTAGAGTTTAAAATAATAGCTACTGAATACTTTGTAGTAGTTAAATATTATCTTAAAGAATATGTTTTGTGAACCTTCATTAATTATGTGAAAGACAACAGAATTTTAAACTATACATGAATCAAGGTAGTTTCACAATAAATATGTATTGTGGTATAGGTTTTTATATACTTTATTTTCCAGTTAATGTATTATGTTATTACAATTTTTATTTTTAATGTATTCATATACACGTAGGTATAGTGTTATTTTAGTAATATTATGAATATTATGTACATAGATTAGTCGAAAACGATATGTGATGACTGCAATCTATAAACTATTCTGTGCTTTTTGCCATATTACAAAGTTTTAAAAAAGTTTTTGATGGTGTAAAAACTCGTGGAACTAAGTCTATACTTACAAAAAAATTTAACTGTTGTTATATATAAAATGAAAAAATGCTGCTAATTACTCTCTTAGCTTTGTATATACATTGGTATATTTGTCCTTTTTCGTACATAGTAAAAAGTGTAGTTTTAAATTTTATTTTTAATAAAAATTTGGTACGGGTTTTTTTTACTTTTAAAAAGAAAATTAAAAGTACAAAAGAAAAGCAAACAATTCAAAATAATTTAAAAATAAAATTCTGTTAAAAAATTTGAATGCAAGGAGTATTGTCTAGTTTAGCGAAAGTGATTTTAAACACTTTTTTTCCTATTTTAAAGGCGCTAGTAAGCTTTTAGTTAACATACCTAGAAAATGTAAATTTGGCTCCAGTTAGTTTCGGTTACAACCAGAATTCGAATATTAAATTTTAAGAAATTCCATCAGTTAGATCCTTAAATTTGGTAAATATTGTAAAATCGGCCTCTAGTTCGTTTTCAGAGTCCTCATTTTTTTCAAAATTTTTAGAAGTTTATTGTTTTAACTCCCTGAATCCATATATTACATTGCAAGGAAATTATTTGATTATTTCTTTTTATATACGCAAAAATGTATATTTAACAGTATAGGAAACGTCTAGTTACTGACACCTGATTCCTCCAAATGTAATTTTCTTAAAAATGATCAAAAAAGTAAAACCGACCCAATTTGACATATCCCAAAAGTTGGAATATAAAATTTCATTAAAATCACACGGACCAACATCTTGCGAAAAACATAGAGGTTTATTTACACTTCTCTACCATGGCCAAATTTTATGTGATCACATAATCTCCCATATTGTATGCAACTACGGTAAAACTACGAAAAATAGTAGTATAACCATTATTTTGATAATTAAATCTATTTACATAATCGCAAAAAATTACATAATAATTTATTTTAATTTAATAATTTTAATGAAAAATTTTGTAAATTATAAAATTTTCACTAAAATTTTATTTTCTTCAACAGGTACATTCACAAAATTATATTAAAACAAAACATAGTCCTAGTGGTCGATTTCGAGGTGAAGTATTTTTTTTAAATCTAGAAGATGGCTATTTTGGCTGCCAAGTAAATGATTCAACAGATTATTTACAATTATACGAATTATCGAAATTATGCGACGGTACCCAAGACTGTTTTTTAGGGTCCGATGAGCTGAATAAAGAGCTCAAATGCACAAGTAAGTTTTGATTACATATATGTATTGGTTTTTTTCTTTTTAATTTACCTAATATTAGTTTTAATTCAACAATTAATGCAACCATAATTTATTTAATGAATTTTTCATTTTTAAAATAGATGACTGTGATAAAGATGGCACCAGTTGCAGAAATGGTGTTTGTCTAAATGGTGTATGCCATTGTAACGATGGTTACGGTGGTTGTAACTGTGTAGATCAAGGTAATGTACTGTTGTGTTAATTTATAATTGTAATAATATATACGTTACATATGTAACGTATATATAAGTATCTTTCGCTACATTCTTGCCAGTTTGCTATTTTGAATATAACTGAACTTTTTACAATTATAGATGAGAATGAGTGCAAATATCGACCATGTGATGTATTTGCACACTGTACAAATACTTTAGGCAGTTTTACATGTACCTGCTTTCCTGGCTATCGAGGCGATGGTCTTCATTGTGAGGGTAAGTGATAAATGTATTTGTGAAGATATCTAAAATACGCAATTGTTTAAAACATGTATTTTTTAAAAATATAAAATCAGCTGGAAATATAATAAGATACTCGTATTTATGGTTTATTAATTACATGGAAAAATAATTATTTATTTTACTATACTCGTTATAGATGTAGAAATTATTTTTTGCTGTGGTTCTGCAAATGTACATACATATGTATTTTGCTGTATAAATTTTTTAAGCATAGTTATGCTAAAAGTTAATTTTAAATTAGAAACTGGCATAGGTTTAAATTTGTGTGAAAATAATCCTTATGCTAAATTCTTTTATTAAAAATTTAACTTGAACTAAAATCAGAGGTTTCAAATATTTCATAGATCCCATCAATGGCTGGGACCACACGATTCATCTTTCTTCAACAAAATTTTTATTTTTGAATCTGCTTTATTTCCACACTGTTCATCAAAAATTGGGTTCTTTTTTGTATGTACATATGTGTATTTGAAATAAAATTTTGAAAGAGGTACGAAACATAGTATGAAAATTAAAGTAATGCAAGAAGATGACTCCTGGGTCTATTTAATTTTTGTATATATGATATGAAAATTTCTTTCAACAATATACCATAACTTTTATAAATATTTCAGCATTTGTTCAACTTTTGATACCAAAGTAACGAAGAAATGCTTTCTTTATAATATTGTTAAAATATATTATATTTTATAATCAATTTGCTTTGGTTTAAAAAATCAAAAAAGGGCATTAAATGTTTGAAAAATTAAATTTAGTGTAAATTTTTTTAAATTAGTGTAATTTCTTTAATACACATATACAAAGTAACTATTAATCCTTCTAATATTTTGCTACATTTTTTCAGATATTGATGAATGTCAGGATCCTACAATAGCAGCAAGATGTGTGGAAAATGCAGAATGTTGCAATTTACCAGCACATTTTCTATGTAAATGTAAAGATGGTTATGAAGGTGATGGGGAAGTATTATGTACAGATATTGATGAGTGCGCAAAGCCAAACATATGTGGTCCAAATGCACAATGTATAAATACACCAGGAAATTATACATGCCAATGTCCAGAAGGATATTACGGTAGCGCCTATGATGGTTGTGTAGATATTGATGAATGTGTAGTTAATCCAGATGTATGCGGCCCAGGTGCAATATGTAGTAATCTTGAGGGCAGTTATCGCTGCGATTGTCCTCCAGGTTACGACGGTGATGCGCGTTCAGAATTTGGTTGTCAAGATTATGATGAATGTTCAAGATCACCATGTGGTCGCAATGCACAATGTACAAATACACAAGGTAGTTTTAAATGTATATGCCCTGACGGATATTCCGGTGATCCAATGTTTGGATGTGAAGGTAAGTCTAAAATAAAATTATTTAAATTAACCGCTTTTACATGGTTTGCAATATACATATATAAATTTCATAGGAGCTAAAATGCAAAAATACAAAAAAAAAAAACAATTTAAATTTGAATTAATGGCTAATCGCTTTATACTATTTGTTTTTTCTTATTTTCATTACATTTTTCAATGCGCTTTTAAAAAAATAACAATACAAAACAAATACAACAACATGTTGGATACAAAACAAAAAAAAATGCAAAAAACATTTTGATAAAACAAATTGCACACGCAACATAAATCATTTTCTAATATCATATATCATATAAAAAATCTCTGATATAATTCTACTTCACCTGCAATCACATCATAATTAATACAAAAAAAATCAATCCGAAAAACGATTGACTTTTTTGTTTGGGTTGGAACTATGTTTAATTTCCTGCACAATTTTCTACTTTTAATGCTAACATTTACGCAAAATAACATAAGATGTCGATGAATGCGCTAAAAACCCATGTCCAGAAAATAGTATATGCTATAATGTAGCTGGCGGCTACGATTGTAAATGTTTTAAAGGATTTGAACTCATTGATAATGAAAATGACGTTGGATATGGGGGATGCGTCGATATCAATGAATGCAATAATAAACTAAAAGCATGTGGCCATAACGCTAAATGCATTAACTTACCAGGAACTTATAAATGTTTATGCCCTCCGGGCTTTTTTGGTCAAGGAGATTTATACTGTGAAAGTAATTAATTTTTAAGTGCTTAATTTATATAATATCATTTAATTTATATATTTCATTCTCACAATAAAATATTAAATAAAAAGAAAATATTGGCAATATCATTTTGATGAAACGTACATATATTTTGAACTTATTTGACCTGTAATTCGGTCAGTGTTTAAATTTATTATAAAAAAAATATACGTTTAATCAAATGTTGCCAAGCATTATTTTCTTCATCTTAATATTTTATTTTATTTTCCAATAAAAATAATTGTTTTTTAAATTTTATTAATATAACATAAAATTTTTACTAATTTTTTTTACACTTTTACCTTTTACAATTTTTTGAAATATCCACTTCAAAAAACAAAAAAAAAATACACACAAAACCACACAATGAAAACGACATTCAATTATATAAAAAAAAACATATCAAAAGACATTAATGAATGTCAAGATAATCCATGCGGAGAAAACTCAATATGCACTGATACGATCGGAAGTTTTATGTGTTCGTGTAAACCTGATTATACCGGCGATCCATTCCGAGGTTGCGTTGATATCGATGAATGCACCGCTCTAGAAAAACCATGTGGCAATCATGCGATTTGTGAAAACGCGTCTCCCGGTTATAATTGTCGTTGTCCGCAGGGTTTCGATGGTCGACCGGATCCAAAAATAGCTTGTGAACAAATTGATGTTAATATTTTGTGTCAAACTAATTTCGATTGTACTAATAATGCTGAATGTATTGAAAATCAATGTTTTTGTCAAGATGGTTTTGAACCTGTTTTATCGAATTGTGTTGATATTGATGAATGTCGTACTCAACCCGATACTTGTGGTAATCATGCTACATGTATTAATACACCAGGCTCATATCGTTGCGAATGCGAAGCGGGTTTCGTTGGTACGCCACCTAGAATCAGCTGTAAGCAACCCTGCGAGGATGTTAAATGTGGTGATCATGCATTTTGTAAGCCTGATGGTGTTGAAGCCTATTGCATATGTGAAGAAGGATGGACTTTCAATCCAAGTGACGTGTCAGCTGGTTGCGTGGACATTGATGAATGTGATATTGTTCATGGGCCATTCGGCAGATGTGGTTTAAATGCAACATGTACTAACAAAGCAGGTGGCTTTTCTTGTGAATGTCCTCCTGGTTATACGGGAGATGCATATAATCAATGTAAAGATGTTGATGAATGTTCACGAGGTAATAAATGTGGAGAAGGAGCTATATGTATCAATTCGCATGGAGGCTATACATGTAAATGTCCTGAAAAAACTGTACCTGATCCAGATCCCACAGTCCGTTGTATGCCAATTGTTTCATGTAAAGGAGATGATGAATGTCCTGGAAATGCTGTTTGTGATGACAAAAAAAGATGTTTATGTCCAGAACCAAACATTGGCAATGATTGTCGACATCCATGTGAAGCTTTATCTTGTGGTCCTAACACGCATTGTATGTTAGTTAACGGCCAAGCACAGTGTCTTTGCGGAGAAGGTTATACAGGAACTGCAAATACTCTTGGAGGATGTGTAGACATCGATGAATGTGCTGGAAATTCTTGTCCTGAAGGAGCAATATGCACGAATGTCCCTGGAAGCTATATGTGTCAGTGTCCAGCCGGTTCTTCGGGCGATCCATATAAAGGGGGTTGTGGTAAAAGTGTTCCATTTGGATGTAGTGAAGATAATCCATGCCCAGTTGGAGAAAGTTGCGTCCAGGATGCTTTTCAAGGAACTGGAGTTTGTATATGTAGGCAAGGCTATGAACGAGATCAAGCAACAGGCAAATGTAGAGATGTAGATGAGTGTTCTTCGAATCGAGGAGGTAAAACTGCTTGTGGTTTAAATGCACTTTGCAAGAATTTACCAGGAAGCTACGAATGTCAATGTCCAACAGGCTTCAATGGCAATCCATATAGTTTATGCGAAGAATGCAGTACACCAGAATGTAAATGTCAACCACCTTATAAACTGGTTGATAAACAATGTATATTAGCTGGATGTTCAAATGGAGAGGCATGTGGAAAAGGGGCAGAATGTATTCAAATAACAGGAGGTGTTAGCTACTGTGCTTGTCCGACAGGTTACAAAACATTATCTGATGGATCATGTGAAGATGTAAATGAGTGTTTTGAACGCAAAGTTATTTGCGGCTTTGGCGCTGAATGCATTAACAAAGATGGAGGATATGATTGTATTTGTCCAGAGGGACTTATTGGAGATGCCTACCACGGAAGGTGTACTCCCGTTCAAAGGAGATGTTCCAACGATAAAGAATGTGGTACAAATGAAAAATGTGTTCAACCTGGAGAATGCGTATGCTCTCCACCATTTTACTTAGATCCAACCGACGGTAATAAATGTAAAAACCCATGTGAACGGTATCCCTGTGGTTTAAATGCAAAATGTACACCAAGCGATCCACCTCAATGTATGTGTGAAGTTGGATTTAAAGGAGACCCACTATTAGGATGTGTAGAAGAAGATGAATGCGCTCATCTACCGTGCGCTTATGGTGCGCAATGTGTTAATAAAAAAGGTGGTTATCAATGCGTTTGTCCAAATGGAATGACTGGGGATCCATATAAAAATGGTTGTATAATGGATAGTAACGAAAGACCTAAAAGTGAGTGTCTAAGTAACGAAGATTGTGCGGATAATTTAGCCTGTGTTCAGGGTACGTGTATAAGTCCCTGTAGCAGTTTGTTATGTGGCTCTAATGCTTACTGTGAACCTCAAAATCATGGTGGGTGGTGTAGATGTCGAGTTGGATTTATTAAAAATGAAAATGATGAATGCGTTTCACCTTGTGAAAAGGTTTTATGTGGGGAAGGAGCTTTATGCATTCCGACAGCTGAGGGGCCAACTTGTAAATGCCCTCAAGGATTTTTGGGAAATCCTTTCCCAGGGGGAAATTGTTACACCGATCAATGTTCAGCTTCTAGACCATGTAATGAACCGCAAGTTTGTATAGGGGGACGATGTAAAGAACGTTGTGATGGTGTTATATGTGGTGTAGGTGCTACATGTGAAACTACAACTGGAAAATGTATTTGTGAACCAAATTTTATAGGAAATCCAGACATGCTGTGTATGCCTCCGATTACCTATGCTGATTGTGAACCAAAATGTGGCAAAAACGCACATTGCGAATACGGTTTAACATACAGTAGTTGTGTTTGCAACCCTGATTCAACTGGTAATCCTTACGAAGAGTGCTTCCTAAAAGTAGAAAAACAAGTTTCTTGCAGGACAAACAGTTGTGGTAAAAATGCAGAATGCTTCGCTGATATGAATGGAATATCATGTAAATGTCCTATTGGTTTAACAGGGAATCCATATGTTAGTTGTACTGATATAGATGAGTGTTTGAATAAACCTTGTGGAGTGGAAGCAGTTTGTATTAATACTGAAGGAAGCTATGATTGTAGATGTAAACTTGGATATGCTGGTAATCCGTTTATAAGTTGCACTTCAGTTACGGTAACACAATGTGAAAATCCCCGTAAATGTCAGTGTAATGCACAAGTTCAATGTCCATTCGGTTATACTTGCGAAAGAGGTAGTTGTAAAGACTTATGCTCTAAAGTGAAATGTGGTCCGAGGGCAATATGTGATGCAGGTAATTGTATTTGCCCACCAGAGTTTATTGGCGATCCGAATGATAAAAATGTGGGCTGTCTTATACAGGGCCAATGTAGCAACGATGCAGATTGTAGTAAGTCTGAAATATGCTTCCAGTTAGGGAAAGGTTTACGAAAATGTATAGATGCATGCAGTAAAATTCAATGTGGACCAAATGCTTTATGTGTTTCCAACGAGCATCGATCAACATGTTTATGCACGGAAGGTTATAAAGGTAATCCTAGCGATTTGCAAGTGGGTTGCCAACCAGAAGAAAGAGTAAATGTACCCCAGAGCAGCTGTTCGCAAGACGAAGATTGTACAATTGGTTTTATTTGTCAATCTGATACAAATGGCATTAAGGAATGTATTGATCAGTGTAGTAAAGTGGCATGCAATAAAAATGAGGAATGTAGAATTGAAGAAAGTGGACACCCAGTATGTCATTGTAAAGAAACATTTGTTTGGAATCCAGTTTTATCAAGCTGTGAAAAACCATCTATTCCCGACTGTACCAATGATGTCGATTGTCATACTAATGCTGCATGTAGGCCTGATATTTTGGGTGTTCTTCGCTGTCAAACTGTTTGTGCAGAATTCACTTGTCCGGCAAACTCTATTTGTGTTGCTAAAAATCATCAAGGGAATTGTGAATGTCTACCAGGATTTGTTGGCAATCCCAATGATCGTAATGGTTGTCAACCTATTCAAAAAAATCAATGTAGAACAAATGCTGAATGTGCAGAATCTGAAAATTGTGTAAAGTACGGTTCAACAAATAGTTTAATGTGCAGACCTGCTTGCGAAACTATGAAATGTGGTCCTAGTGCAGTTTGTTTAACAAATAATCATTTAGCTCAATGTCAATGTCCTCCAGGACCTTATGCTGGTGACCCATATGATCCATTTAACGGCTGCAAAAGTGTGCCATGTGTCTATAACAAAGATTGTCCATCAAATCAGCTGTGTAATCGTTTAACACACTCCTGTTACGATGTTTGTGATGAAGAATCTTGTGGAACTAACGCTGTATGTATTGCTGATGATCATAAAGCAATATGTCAGTGCCCACCAAGCTATAAACCAAACCCTATAGCTGAAGTAGAATGTGTTCCTATTGGTGGTTGTATACCAGGAAAATGCCATCCATCAGCTATTTGTGAAATTCAGCAACAAGGAGCCATTTGTAAATGTCCTCCTAACTATACCGGAGATCCAGTTGTAAATGGTTGTCGACCCGAAGGACATTGTCCAAACGGTAATAAAGACTGTGCGCCTAATGCTGTGTGTTCGAACGGAGTATGCGTAGATCCATGTGAAAATGCTTGCGGTGTTAACACTGAATGTAAAGTAGTAGATCGTAAGCCGGTATGCACATGTCTTTTTAGATTCGTTCCTGTCGCGAAAACCGCTAAAGAAGGATGCATTCGATCTATTTCCAAATGCGCTAGCAATATAGATTGTGGTGGAGCTGCCTGTTATAATGGACAGTGTAAAGATCCTTGTAGAAATTCTGACGATTGTTCATCAGGTGAAAAATGCATTCAGAACGTTTGTGAATATCCTTGTCTTGACCATAGTCAATGTCAACAAGGTCTTGCTTGTTTAGATGGAATATGTTTGATTGGTTGTCGTAGTAATAAAGATTGTGATTCAAATCAAGCTTGCATAAACAGTAAATGCCAAAACCCATGTGAAGCTGGAAATGTTTGTGGACCTAACGCAATTTGTTTGCATCAAAATCAAGATACTTATTGTTCCTGTCCTCCTGGGTTTGAAGGAAATCCAACTCCCGAACTTGGTTGTGTTCGAGTTCCAGCGCACTGCCAAAGCACTATTCAGTGCCCCGAAAATCATCAATGTATTGAAAATCAATGTAATTTTCCTTGCCGTAAAAATTCAAATTGTGCAGTTGGAGAAAGATGCTATAACAAAGTATGTGCAAAAGTTTGTTATACTAATAATAACTGTTTACCGGGAGAAATTTGTAATAATGATGGTACTTGTCAACCTGGTTGCGAATCTGATGCCGATTGTCCAGCTACAGAATTATGTCTTAATGGAAAATGTAAATGTGCGACTGGTTTTATTGGTACACCATTTGGATGTTCCGATATTGATGAATGCACTGATACTGGTATTATGCCATGCCATCAATCTGCATTATGCGAAAATACGCCAGGCTCGTTCAAATGTCATTGTCCTGAAGGTACCGTTGGTGACGGACATACAGGTTGTGCTTTAACAAATGAATGTTATAAAAATTCTGACTGCTACGATAATTTAGCTTGCTCAGGTGGTAAATGTATTGACCCATGTACTGAAAATAAATGTGGTTTGAATTCTGTTTGTGAAGGAGTTAATCATAAAGCTGTATGTCATTGCACAGCAGGTCATTTAGGAGACCCAATGGATAAAGTAGTCGGGTGCTTCAAGGTAGAATGTATTACTAATGATGAATGCTCAAGCGAAAAGCACTGCGATTCCGAAACTAATCGTTGTATAAATCCATGCGACGTTGTGAATTGCGGTAGAGGAAATTGTAAAGTTGTAAATCATGGAGCAGTGTGTACTTGTTTAGAGGGTTATTACCTATTCGATGGTATATGTGAGGATACAGACGAGTGTTTGAAACATCCATGTCATCACACGGCTATATGCAAAAATCTCCCTGGAAGTTTTGCTTGCTCATGTCCTGAAGGTTTAGTAGGAGATCCACTAGTAAATGGTTGTCGTGATCCTAATGAATGTTTAAGTGACTCCGATTGCCCTGACACAGCAATATGCGACAATGCTCGTTGTAAAAATCCATGTGAACGCTCCAATGTCTGCGGTCGTAATGCTAATTGTAATGCACGTTCACATACTGCAGAATGTTCTTGTCCTCCTAATTCACGAGGGGATCCAAATAAAGAATGCGTCCAAATAGAATGCTTCGATTCCAACGACTGTCCAAATGACAAGACTTGTTTTGATTCTAAATGCGTTAACCCGTGTTCGCTGCCAAATTCGTGTGGCAACCTAGCTGAATGTGTTCCACTTAATCATATTGGAGAATGCACCTGTACGCCTGGTACCACTGGTAATCCTCAACTTGGATGTGTTACTTTGCAATATTGTAATACTGATTCTCAGTGCTTATCTGGTACAATTTGTAATAATGGAATTTGTCAATCGTTGTGTACTAGCAATCGTGATTGTTTACCAGATCAACTTTGTTTGCAAAAGGTGTGTCAACCAACCTGTAAATCCAATTCCACTTGTCCAGATTTTCAATACTGTTCGAATAACATATGTATTAAAGAATTACGTTGTGAAACAAACGATGATTGCGGTTTAAATGAAGTTTGCGTTCAAGATAGTTTTGGCCGTGCAAACTGTGAGGACGCGTGCTTGGGGCGAGTTTTGTGTGGTCGTAATGCAGAATGCCATGCAAGAAGTCATGCACCTGAATGTGCTTGTAAAGAAGGATTTTTCGGTGATCCAAAAACTGGTTGTAGAAAAAGTGAATGTAATAACGATGATGATTGCAGTAATGACAAAATGTGTCACAATCATATGTGTAAAATAGCGTGTTTAGTAGGATCTCATCAATGTGGAGCAAATGCAATGTGTTCTGCTGAAAAACATAGACCAGTTTGTTATTGTCAACCGGGTTATACTGGAGATGCCAAATTGGGCTGTGAATTAATCGATTTTTGTAAAGATGCGCCGTGCGGACCGGGAGCTGAATGCAAGAATTCACGCGGAACTTTCAAATGTACTTGTCCAAAAAGTTTAGTCGGTGATCCGTATAACGAAGGTTGTCGTACGGCGGTTGAATGTGAACAAAACAGTGATTGCCCCGAAGCGGCCGAATGTAACCAAATTAACGGTGTACCGAAATGTAAACCCGTATGCGAAAATACTGAATGTGGTCGAAACGCTGAATGTGCATATAAAAATCATGAAGCATTATGTAGGTGTCGTGATGGTTTTGATGGTGATCCAAGTGATCCAATTTCAGGTTGTAGTCCACTACCAAAACCATGTCAAGTAACATCAGATTGTGCCCCTGGAACATATTGTTCTGAAAACATATGTAAACGTAAGTTGAATCTTCGTTGATTGAAATACAAAAACGAAAAAAAATGAAATGCTGGTCTTACCTGAGAATACTATAGAATCGAAAACCAATTGATTACCTGTAATACGCTGTGTTTCTAAATGTCTTTTCCTTTATTTGTTTTTCTGTTTTTGTTCTAATTTTTTTGTTAATTTTTCTTACATCATAATTAATTATCTACATATTTTTTTTTGTAAAATTAGTTACAAATAGTATTAAACTAAAAAAAATATTGACTAAATACTAAAAGAGTAAGTAATAAATTAAAATTAAGAACTTAACTCGAAATTAAAATCGAATCACAACTTAAAACAAATTATATAAACATATATCTCACTTTTAACGTGACGATCTTATAAAACAAAATACTTCAATATGTTATTAGTTGGAAGAAAAACAATATTAATTCATTAAACTTTAATAACAGATATTAAAAAATCAATAAAATTAAATTGGAGTAATTTTAATACGTAATAAAAACCGATTTACTCAATAAAACATAATAATTAATTAAACATTAACATAGTATTCTAGGGTTCTAAACAAAACGTTCAAAATACAAAAACCAAAAAGTTTTACAAAAAACACTAATTAAAAACAAAAAATGATATTAAATTTATATTGAAAAATTGTGATAAATTTCGGAGAATGCATTTGCTCTTCGTCCCAAAAATATTAAAAATAGTTAAACATTTAAATAAAAAATTGTAATTGCTTTAAAAAATTGTAGTAATTTTTGCGCTGAAATTTAAGTTCCTTCTGAAGTATTATAAAGTAATAATTTTGAGATACTATGTTTTACATAATATGTTATGCTTTGTAATATGCGTTATACAATTTACATAACAATGTTTATAGAAATATCAAAATTACTTAAATTTTATAATCTTGAAACTTATATATTATTATTCGATTATGAATTGTTTTATTAGTCTTAAAATTTATTTTATATAATCGGTTCGAATTTTTTTAAATTTACAAAAATTAAATTTACTTACGTCGAAATTGCACAATGAACTTTATCACAATTTCTTCAAACATATGGATATTAAAAAACATATAATAAATACGATAAAATACAACACATTAATATAAGCATCAAAATTAATATAAAAATTATAATGTATGCTTATAGCTGCATGTGTTTTGGATACTGAATGTAATGCTTTTGAAGTATGCCGTGGTGGTCAATGCATAAATCCTTGTGATCAACCACAAGCTTGTGGTATGAATGCTCATTGCCTTAATGGTGAGCATTCAAAACAATGTGTTTGTCCAGAAGGTTTTACTGGTAGTCCAGATGTAGAATGTGTTCGAAGTAAGAAATAGTTATTTGTAGTAAATAGTTATTTAGCTAAAAAGTTATACGTAAATTTCTATAAACATTTTTTATTTTTATATAAAAAACTTTTACACTTTTATTTATTTATTTTTGTACATGAATATATCAATATCAAATAAATTTTGTTTGCATTATATAATTTTTTAATATAAAATGTACATTTCAACAGTTCCTGTATCATGTTCTGTTGATTTTGAATGTCAACAGGGATACATTTGCCGTGATCAAATGTGCATGCCAAGATGTTCAAGTGATCAAGACTGTGCCCAAAATGAAAAATGTTTAAAAGGAAACTGCATGTGTAAGTACTAAAATTTTTGTGCATTAGAATTGTAATTGTGCAAAAAAAATATTTTTTGTTTACATTTTAGTAACGTGTCGTGTAGATAATGACTGTTTCTTAGGTCACATTTGTCTTAATAATAAATGTATTTTCGGTTGTCATAATGATAACGATTGTAGCGCATCAGAATCCTGTCGAAATAATAAATGCATTAATCCGTGTTCAGAAAATCCATGCGGTCCAAACGCGTTATGCTCTGTTTCAAATCATCGTGCTTCATGTAATTGTATTAATGGGTTGGTACCAAATCCAACTCCAAAAGTTGGCTGTGTTCGTTCACCAGCAATTCAATGTTTGGAAAATAGAAATTGTCCTGATGGTTTAGCGTGCATAAATTCATTATGCCGATCACTATGTGCTAATGATGAGGGTTGCTTATCAAATGAGCGATGCGACAACGGAGCATGTAAACCGTTATGTCGCCGTGACGACGAATGTAGAAATAATGAAATTTGCATCAGCTTAACATGTGTTCCTGGCTGTCAGTCTAACTCAGGTTGTCCAGATAATTTAGAATGCATTAATAAACAGTGTTCGGATCCTTGTGCCAATCCAACAGCGTGTGGAACAAATGCTTTGTGTACTGTTAGTGACCATCAGAAAATATGTACTTGCCCAGATAATCTTGTGGGAAATCCAGAAATAGTTTGTAAAGGTTCACAAACTCTCTGCGCTAACAATGCTGATTGTCCACTAAACCATTCTTGCTACGGAAGTATTTGCTTACAAAAATGTCGAAATGATCAAAATTGTCTAAATGACGAGAGATGTATGCGAGGAACATGTCGTACGGTTTGTAATGTTGACTCAGCTTGTCCACAAGGCCAAATTTGCGAAAACCGTGTTTGTCAAATGGGATGTCGAAATGACTTGACCTGTGAATCAAGTGAAACTTGTATAAATAAAAAATGTAAAAATCCATGTGAAGTTATAGGGCAATGCGGAGCGTGTGCTGAGTGTTCAGTTATTAATCATGGTGTGCAATGTAGTTGCCCGAATGGATTTTTAGGAGACGGATTAAGTGGTTGTTATTTGCAACCAGAAAAGTGTAATTCGTATTGCCAATGCGATGAAAGTGGTGTATTTTGTGCTCCAACATGTAGTAATACACAAGAATGTCTCTGTGGTCAAGTATGCGCTCGTGGAAAGTGTAGACAAAGTTGTTCAGCAAATTCGCCATGCCCTACCGGACAATTATGTGAGCGTGGAGCTTGTATTGCAGGATGCAGAGCGAATTCGGATTGTGCAAGTGAACAATCATGTATCAACGGTCAGTGTTTAAATCCATGTGCGCATGATGGAGCTTGTGGTGAAAATGCCTTGTGCACTGTATCTGATCATAGAACACTTTGTTTCTGTCCAGATGGCTATCAAGGTGAACCAACTGATAAATGTGTGCCATTTGAGTGTCAGACTGATAACGATTGTGATTTGAATAAACGTTGTGATGATGGATCTTGCAAAAATCCTTGTCAAGAGTATGGTTCATGTGGTGTTAATGCACAATGTCGTGTTGTTAATAGACGTCCTCAATGTTCATGCCCACCTGATTTCTTTGGTAATCCAGAACAAGAATGTCAGCCATTAACTGTATCGGCTTGTTCAAGAAATCCATGTGGGCAAAATACTAAATGTATTGATGTACCTGGCGGTCATGAATGTCAATGTATGGATGGATGTGTTGGTGATCCTCATCGTGGATGTACCTGTTCCGAAGCTCATAATATTTGTGTTGATCACCCGTGTGGTATTAACGCGCAATGTCAGATATCCGAATTCGGTCAACCAAAATGTGTTTGTACAGAAAGATATCCTCATGGCGATCCGTATGTTGAATGTAAGTAAATTAATAAATAGTTTTGTTTTAAATATTTTTTTTAAATTTTAATGTAAAAAAATAATGGGAAATTTTTTATTAATTATTAAATTTATTTTTTATTATAATCAAACATTCCTTATTTTAAGGTTTAATTAAATTAAATAACATGTGTATTCATTCAATTATTCATGTGTATTTTATCATATCATTAAATTAATAACATGTAAAAATAAAATTCATATCAATTTCAAATACATGTTACTATAGTCATTTGATTAACGTTCTGTTTTTATATAAAATTTTAGGTGCTCCTTATGGTCCTAAAACTGATTGCAGAACTCATGGATGCGAAATAGGAGAATGTGTAAGGCAAGGTACCGAATACATTTGCAAAAAGGGTAAGTTACTTAATTATGTATTTTTTATTGTTCATGAAATATATTTTATTACCGCGTATATTTTGATTTTCTATTGAAAATTTTTATATTCATAAAATTCTTTTAATTTAGTTTTTAATTAATTTAATATTTGTTATTTAAATGAACAAATTAATGCACTTTGTTTTTAAAATAAAACTAAAAAACGAAAAAATTTTTTTTTACGTAATCGGTATATTTTATATTACAATCTATGATCATTTTTATGTTTAATATAAACACGTTTTATAGAAATAATAAAATTAAAACTTTATCTGTGATAACATTTATAATTTATTTATTTATCCATATAATTTTTTTGGTTAATTTATTTTGTTTAAAAAATATTTCTTATTTGAGTTTTAAATGTAGAAGTAGGATAAACTAAAAAAACAATAAAATGAAAAATTAATTATTTTTTTTTAAATAACAATAATTAAAAAAAATTTATCTTAATTTTAATTTTAATCATTACTTTGGTTTATATTTATATTTAATTCACTTATAGTTACTTAGCATAATGTCTTTTTTTTTTGTTTTTAAATAAAATTAGTATTTATTTTTAGTTTGAACTAAAAAAAACAAAAGAAAAATTAATGAAACTGATATATTGTTTTAACAACATTTTTATTTAATTTTAGAAACAAATTTATCGAATATAACTATTAAAGTATTGTTCCAATATATAACTGACTTAATTATTGAAAATAAATTGTAATAAATTGACCCCTTACATTTTAGTTGAATTAAAAAAAAAAGAGATTCATATTTTTTGTTAATAATTGAATTTTTTTTAATTAATGATATAAAATTTAGTGTGTGTATATATTTATACATTTTGTATTTTAAATTTTTAAAATATACCTACATCAAAAAGCACATATTGTATGTATATAGATATTCAAAATAAATCAATTTTTTCTTTTATCACAAATTAATTGTTTAACATACTCTCTCATATGAACATCCTGTAATTAATCCGCTAATTATTAATGCAACAATTTTATTTGTTATTTCTTATTTGATATCAATATCAATTTTTTTCATAAAGTATACAATATACAGAATTTCATTATTTAACTTTTTTGCTAAGTCTATATTACTACAGCAAATATAATGATTATTTATATTTTTGTTAAATACGTTTTGCATATATTAATAATATAATTTATTATTATTTAATTAATGCAACATTGTTAGAAAAATTATTTCATATTACGTAAATCTACTGCTTTTTTTAAAAAATTGATTTATTTTAATCTATTACGTAAAAAGTAACGAAAATCACAAAATTAATTTAAAACATACACACATTCTAAAATTTACAATTAAAACACAACATATTCATTCACATGCAACATATTTTCATACAAAAGACTATATTTTGAAATAAAAAAAAATATTCAATATAACAGTTTTTGAAAGATTCAAGATTTTTGAGTTAATAAGTAAATAGAAATTTAAAAACTTAAAGTGCACGTCATCATTTAATTTTGATATTAAAAGTCTTACTTGTATCAGTCATATCCTAATGTTATATGAAATCATAAAATCTAATTTCTGTAAAACTTGAAAAAGCGTATACAAAAAGCGTTTCTAGCATTTAAAATATAATATTGCAGTTTTTCAAAATTTTTTGTTTCGATACCAAATATAATTTTCATATATCGGATTAAATAAACAAGTAAGATTTATACTTTTAAAATATTTTTTTTTTATTTCTTTACTCTCATTTATTTGTTGTCAATTACCTTTCAATTATAGATTTAAGCGAAAAATTTTCATATTTAAACATTTGTTTTGATTTTTAGTTCTTTAAAATAAAACAATAAAATAAAATTATATTAATTTAATGCCAGAAGTCGTGAAATTTCGCTGTCGCTATCGCGGTCTCCCAATCTGTGCTTTATATACTTTTCTGGCTGTATTATCTTTAAGTTACAGTGCTTTACGTTTCACATTTATGAAAATAATATTGCAGCTGAAATTAAAATGAAATATTTAGTTTGCATTTAAAAAATAGCCATGTTCAGCTGAATTTCTTTAAAAAATTATTAGCATTAATTTCTTTGTTAAACATAAATTTAAAATGCATTTCCATTTTATTTTTACAATAAACATCATGTGTAATTATTTTTTTAAAATTTATTCGATTCATTACAAGTCCATTTCTCATTTAATTTTGCAAAAAAAACAAAAACTTAACATAAAATTATATAACTTATCATATTATGTCATTATTGTACGTAAAATTAGATTTCATTATAAATTACCTAATATGCATTTTATACATTTGAAATTTTAATTTTGCTACCAATATCATCATTTAATATTCGAAAAAATATAAAATAATATATTGCTTATTTCATTTGTGTAGTTGCAGTCGAACAATTACAATTTAGCAATAATTGCATTAGTTATTTGAATTTTTAATAACAATTTTGATCTTAAATAAATTATAAACAATTTTTAATATTCTCCTTATTATTATTTCTTTACTATTTTTCTTAATTTATAGTAGCAATTTCTTTTCAATTAAATAGGAAAATTTGTAAAATAAATTGAAACTCTTTTATTTTTTTCAAAACAATGTCATAAAAATTTTTTAGAATGATATTAATATTTTCGAAGTTTCAATTACTCAAAAAAAAATTGCGTTTATTATATTCGCCAAATTTTGCCTTCATTTTGATACGACTGTACTTATATAAATGTTATTAGCAAAACATATCATTTTAATTTCATCCTATAACCGAAAATTTCTAATATTATAATTTTAAAAAAATTTTTATCTTAAACATTTGGTTAATATTTCATACACCCTGTAAAAAATAGCAATTTATCATTTGAATATTTTTCATATACATTAATACTAAATTTATTTTATTCAAAAATTGTGTATTATTTCATTATATTCTAACAGATATTTGTATTTCATTTTCAAAATTGAATTCATTTTGACTTCGCATTATATAATAAAATATTATTTAATTAAATATAAACATAAATTACTCTAAATAAAAAAGAAGTTTAATATAATTTAGTTCGGTCAAAATAATTTACAAATATGCAAAAAGAAAAATCTAAAATTAATAAAGAATGTAATAACAAATAAATGTTATAACGTACATTTGGTTTTTGATATAAATGATGAAAATGTTAAAAAATCATGGTTAAATGTTTTTGAAAATTATAGGCGACAGCGATTTTTTTCGAAAATCGTTTTTTTTTTTCTCAAGTAAACATTCCGATTTTCGTCGTAAAAACAACAAGTGATTACAAGAAAAAAAAAATTCCTATTAAAATTACAAACCTTTTCAAAATTTTGATGTGTATAGTAAATTTTTCCATAATAATTTTTGTATCTTGTATTTTTAAAGTTTCTATTAGTGTATTTTCTGTGTATAATTTTAGTTATTTATGTTGTTAGAGATAAAAAAATATTTTACAGAAGAAAAACATATTTAAATAATTTTGAGAAAAGAATGCATTATCAGATTGGGAACTGTGAATGAGACGATTCTCAAATTGTTATTTTTTTTTAAATTAATTATAGAGAAATGAACAATATAAATTGTAATTTTGTAAAGTTTTTTATTTTAATTATACAACCAGCTAGGTAATATTTAAAATTTATTTGAAAGAAATATTATTGTGAAATAATGAAAGTAGGTGGTACAAATTTATCGTTAATTTATTACAACTGAAAAATTGACAATTTTTTTCATTTTCTAGAGAAACTTGATTTTGGATTTTTTTTTATAACAAAAGAATATTGTAATGTAAAATGTCTTTAAAAATAGATTAAATGTGTTTCTGAAATATTAAAGTTTATCGAAATTTTTAAATGCGTTTAGTTCCAAAAGTTCGATTTTAAAGTAAAAAATTTGAATTTTTTTGTCAAAATCAAGTTTGTCAATTAAAAAAATGAAACAAAAAAAAAAACAGAAAATCAAAAATTAATAAAATGGTTTTTGTACAGTCTGTTATGTAACTACTTCTTTAGTTAAGAAATCCGTTGTCTATATGTATGTATGTATAAATTTTCTGTTATTTTTTTCATGGTATAACTGGGTATTTGTTAAATTTTTCACGCTGATGTTTTTTTTAAATGACATTTTTACAATAACTTAAAATATTATTTTTTATTATCATATAAGGTGTAAATAATTCATATTTTGTAATTTATTTCCTTAATTATATACAGTATTTGTATGTATACAAAATAAGAACTAAGAACGCAAGAAAAAAAAAACTTTACATTGCACTTTACACATTTAGGTACGTGTATATTTATTTATATGCACACAGACGTACTGTATATATATATACATATATACATATATATATATAATATATATATATATATATATATATATATATGTATATATATATATATATATATATATATATATATATATATATATATATATATATATATATATATATATATATATATATGTATTTATGTATACGTTTATGTATCTATATATATGTATAACAGTACAACACGTATCAAATTTTAGTACATGCATTAGCTATTTATATGTACTATGCCTATATTTATACATAAATTTTCTTTTTAGTTTTCTTAATTAGTTTACATAAATAGTATTTGTCTGCAGTTCTTTCCCGGTGTTACAATTTATTTATTTAAAAGTTTTTAAATTTTATTTAAATTCAAAAATGTATTAATCTGGATGTAATTACGATCTAGTAAATTTAAGCAATGATAAACAAATTTATTTCAGTTTGCTGTTAATTTCTATATTTTTGCGAAAAAAATTTTGTACATACTTTTTATGTTTTCGAAAAAAAAAGTAGATTGAAAGAAGTTATTCCGACAAGTTGCAATTTTGAAAAATATCGTGTCTTTTTGTAGTACGATATATGTATAAGTATAAAAAAATAAAATATTCATAATAAAATATTCTTTATTCATTGTCATAAAACTTAATCCAAATAATATTCCAAAAAATTCA